ATCCGTGACGTATAACAGACGACTGTGTTCGCCGGCTACGGTTGCCGTTAACGCGTGCCGGCTGCGAAGTTTCCCGAAATCTTATTCGTGTCAGTCGATTTTGAAGTCGGATAATTGCAAGGTTTCCTGCAATTTCTGGAAAACTTACCGTACTGGTTATGATACCAGCACCAGTCGGGATTGTCTGTCTCTCGTGGTCGAGAGCCAGATCGCTTACGTGAGGCGCTTCTACGTGGGGTTTTTGACCGACTACGGTCATTGCGAACTCTAAGATATCGTGTAAGCGTGTGACATAGTTCGGCCATGTCAGTCGAGGTCGATTGGGGTTTTTCTTTGATGGAAAAAACCTCGGCCTTAGAAAATTTGGTGATTTCCAAGATTCGATCGGCAGATGCAGCTAGTTCATCTATGGCATTGTTTTGAAATGAAACAAGCACTGCCTGCACCTGTTGAGGGAGTTTAGACAAGAAAAGTTGTCTAAATAGGCCATCATCGAAAGTTCGTTGGCCAATGACTTCTCTCATTCTAAGCAACATGTCTGTCGCAGAACCATGTTGCAAGTCGATATTGTTAAAGAGTTGGTCTAACCGTTGTCGATCAGTTAAATCTCCGCGTTTTAAAATCGATAGTTTTAGCGTTTCGTAAGGTTCGGGAACATCAGTAGTAAACATACTAGGTGTTATGTACCTGTTAAACTCGCGCGGTAACGCCTTAACTACCGCGAGGAAACGTGTGCGCGAGTCCGTGATTCCGTGCATGCTAAAATCGGCTTCTGCATAGCAGAACCAGGACTCGATATTGTCGGGCCAAAATGGCGTTAACTGAATCGAAATAGGGGGAATAGACTTAAACTTAAGAACCTTAGGAGAGTGTTCCGTCATAGTAATATAGATAACGAAAAATGTTTAAGTAAAATATATCCGAGAAAAAAAATTCGCGAAATAAAGTATATCACAATATATAAAATTAAAATAAAGAATAACAATGAATAATAATATTCCAAAATGGAACAGACTCACAGTATATTGACTTGGTGTACCAGATCACGTCGGGCTCACCAATGATGATGCAACGGATGTTCTAGTTTTACAACTAGCTACCAGTAGCACCTTCTAAATTTGATCGTTCCCAGTCAGATAGAAATCGGAAGTCAGACGAGAAGAGGCAGGAAAGATATATTTGATTCGTTACCAATATATCGAGGACCTTTTCTATGAGCTGGCTAATGAAACGTAGGAGCTGTGTCCCACGCCGTGTTCAAATGGTTCAAATGGTTCAAATGGTTGAGGACGGAATAGAAGCTTTCGCTTAACGGGCTTCCGTGTCTGATAGCAGTGAATCACCAATACCTCCAGGCAAAAACCTAGGTATATGAACGATAATAGAGGGAAAAAAGAATTTGGTAAGTCATAATAATATGTTATCCTTAGTCCTTAAGAATAAGTCAAGTTTTCTCTTAAAGGACTCCTGGGAGGTCGCTTGGACTAGCTCAGTCGGCATCGAATTCCAGCACTTGACAACTATTAAGGAGTAGAAGTTGTGTCTGCAGTCTGTTCTGCTATGTAGGGTCTCCAATTTCTGGGTGTTACCTCTGAGATTAGTGTTATGACTAAGCTTAAGAAGTTGTTTAAGGGGATGGCCAGAAGTATTAAGGATACTATAAGTCATAAGAACATCACCTCTAAGACGCCTGCACTCTAACGGGTAAAGGTTAAGTGATTGGAGGCGCCCTTCATAAGGTTTGAATTTGAGTCCCCGAACTGATTTCGTGGCTCGACGTTGTATACGTTCCAGAGTGACCTTATCCTTTTGGAGGGAGGGAGGAAATACTATGTTTCCGTACTCTAAGTGGGGACGAAAAAAAAACAGTTGAAGATTATATGGAAGGTTCTACCGTCAAACTGGCCAAAAATGCGCTTCAATGTTACCAGTGCAAGGTTTGCTTGAGACGTGATCTGGTGCGGAAGCATGACCGAAAGCCTTCAGGTAAACAAGTCCACTTAAACAACATGGTCAGCATCCAATGTCGAACACTTAATGAACTATTGATTTTGGGGAATTATTTACAGCTACACCGTCCTCAACCATTTGAAGCATTTGAACGGAGTCGTATCCGTGGAATACTTAATTCAGTATTCCAGAAAGACTAATAACATAGTAACTCAAAAATGTCCCCTGATATAAAGATTTAGGTTCAAGTAATTCACTCAGTTTATGATAAATGATAACAAAGGCATTGGATATTGGATTAGGAAGTTGATTCAAACAGTCGACTAGAACGTCGATCAACCTCCGGCGGGCTTTGGAACTTCGCTGAGATGGTAAGTTACTATATATCATCTTGATTTACTGTGGCCAGGGTTTTGACTAGTGGGACTGAGTTCAAGATGTTTGGGCTCAATATATTGTTTTTAAATATGAAGCAAAACAAGTATTTTGTCTGTATAGTTTCAGTTTTAAAACAGGCGGTCACCGTTGTCAAATTAGCTGTCTGTAATGTAAAATATATTTAAGGTGAGTGGATACTGTATGATGTCGGAAATAAGAAAACCGCACGGCCTTGATATACTCATAAGCCCGGATTTAATTGGTAGCGTTCGAGTAGAAAACATGCACAAGGTTGATGTGCCTCTGTAAATGTCTTTCAGTAACAGCCTCTGACTTAAGACCTGTTAATTTGCGCCGTCAAACAACGCCCCACGATTAATAGTTATGATTGTGGTTGGGTTCGCGTGGCCGGATAGTATAATTGGCCCTCTTCTTTGAACTGCGGCTCATATCAAAGCACCTAGAGAGTTGGTTTAACCTGGTAGTTAATATAACTTGTATTGTATGAATCACTGGTTATAAACATTTTAAACATTAGGTATTTTGGCGTGTCCTCATCCTGCAAATTTCTTCACATTGGATCACAAATTTCAACATTGTAAAGGGACCCCAAGAAACCGGTGTTTGAATGTTTGTGATCGAACGAGTAGTAGCACTTTTTTCTGTTTACTTAAGAAAGTCTATCCATTCGGTTCTTATTTTACTAACTAGTGGAAATCTAGGTCCGCACCTGGAATTCTATTTATTTACCCCATACACAAATATTGAAAGAACTTGTCACCAAAATAAGTATTTGCCTCGGGAATAAGATGTTAAAATTACGAAGAAATATCGTCAACAAGAATGATAGAAGACGTAATTTAGCTAAGAATACGACCAGTAATCCTATTCTAGTGATTTATTTTACTTTTAAGAATGCGAAATCTGCGGCTACTGGTTTGATCTGAGCCATGTCTAATAGTGTCTTAAGCCACTGAGTCGCACTGTCTCCGGGACGCCAACCTTTGACTCATTATAGATCAGTAAATCTTAATGTGAGACAACTTCCTTACACATAACAACGGCACGTCATAATTTGGAGTCACGAAACGTCAGAAAATCTAATTTTTCTACCCCTTGGGATATTACAAATATAGTATTTATTTATGACAATCTACCCAGTGCTCAATTTATTCGAAATTATCAAGTCAAACCTTGGTAATGATACTTATAGTATACGCTTATCTCAGGTTCTAAATTCGATTATCACTGAATATTAAAAAATAAAGAGAAAACTTAATAACGACGGCAACAAACGAAAACAGCATTACAAAACACAACCAACAGACAAAAATAAAATCAACTAAGTACTACCTACATCGAATTCCAACAGAATGTCAAGAATCCTTCGGATACAGAGATAATAGGACACTTGTTCGGTTTAGAAAAATATTGATTAGTCACAATTTCAACAATCTTGAACTCTCAGAACTCCCAGAGACTTCCACGTCGTGCATTATTTGCCGACCCTGGGACTGGTTGGAAAAAGCGGAGAGGTCAGTGTATGACATGGTGTCGTGGCATGAAAGAAAGCTGCAAAGGGCTAGCTTCTGTTGGTCCTTCACGATTCCCTGGCTGGGGTCCGAGAGATGGTGCAACACAGTGGCTAGAGACGTTATCAGATATGGCTCAGAATAGCAGCCAGTGGCGATCCTGCTGCAACCTTCTTTTACTTTCTACATAAAGAATGGTTCTAACTTTCTTAACTGAAAGAGTCTTCTGGTTGTACATTTCAGTCCGCCTTATCTTTTCATCCCTTCTCTTCCTACTTTCATTATTTTGTGTGGCGCATATGTACCTGGTGCCCTTTTGTACCAATATATATGTGTTTAAATAAATAAATAAAATAATTCGTAAAAATTTCCTGCCGCGATGTAAATTTTTCGTCTCAAATTTATCAGGAAGTTTCTTTTATCATATATTTCTTAGACAGATTACGAACTAATAACCTAGAACACTCGCTAGACGAGAACGGAACATAAGTTCCGGACAATTATTTTCCGAGTCCATGGATTGTTTTCAACTGATGCAAGGCAATACACTTTTACGTCTGTTTGTATGCTTCTGAGTTGTCGCATCGGCAGTCAGTCAGTCAGCTACAACGTAGGACCAGGCACACATATGCATCAGTCCAAGTTGCATCGGCAGGTTGAGATATTAATATGGTAAACAGCGAAGAATCGCAAGTGTAGTGAAAAACTAAAAAAAACCCAACCAAAAAAGTCGGGACAATAAAAGGATGTAATGGTCAGAATTTAAATGAATACGAGGATCTCTCTATACCACTGCAGTAGATTTAGACTCGTCACTTATGCTTTCATCATACAAATCTATACATAGTTCCACTTTCTTTTGAGCTGCATGGTGGTATCACTTAACAATTCAGATATACTTATCTACTATCGTAAGTCTATTAACTTGACGTATTAAAATGAATGCAGATTTTTAACAGACTAAATTAGTTTTCTTTTAACGGATGTTTTGCTGTCAGTTAAAACTCCTACTCTCTAATGTATATTTAATAAACAAGAATATGTTCACATTGATTTTTTAATAAGTTCTATTGTTTTACTTGTTTGTCAGATATATGCTCTCAATTTACTTCACTCTATGCTTCTATATACTTGCCCATAATGGATGGCAATTTGTCAATTTTGTATCCAGATTGTAATATACTCCCATTCGACTCTGTTAATGGTAATCTGATGAACTATTCTGGGCTGTATTCCAATAGTTGTGGTCTAAAATCAAGCGCATATCTGGACGAATTCCAACACATGAAGGAAGATTCACAAGATTTTACACAGAAGCACATGTCCGGTAGAAAAACGTTTATGTGTCCCAAGTGCAACAATTTTTATTCTGAGGGCAGCAACTGGTGCTCTAGCTGCGGGGAGCTACTAATTGGTGCGGACGTATGTTCTGGTGAACCAAAATTCATCGCAAATGAAGTTTCAAAGACACAAACCAATATGATGGATTCAAGTAAACCTTTATCTAATTTGTCTTCAAGTGTACCCATTGGTTTCAATATGTTTTGTGAGAATGCTACACGCTCGCCCAATTTAGTCGCTTATCCACGTCATCCAATATTACCAGTCGCTACAGATGCAGCGTTTTCTTTACCATCTTGTGTAGCGTCAAAATTCTCACAAGGAAATCTAAATGCACAACATTCAGAGTGGAGCAATTTATCATTTTCACCGTCAAAGCAGTTTGATCAACTACGTCACAATAAAGCAAACATTCCTTTTTGTGTACCGGTTGACCCCTCGTTTTCGAGATATAAAAACTTTGGGATTTCGCAGAATGCCTCCACTGACCAAAAACAGTATCAAGTTGTAAAGAATAACGAATACACTGATCCCTGCAACTTTAAATTGTTGTATCCCAAAGAAAATGGTTTTACTCAATCGATATTATGGAATTCTAAACATTTTAATGATAATAAAAGTTGCAGTCAGTTTTCTCATCCATTCAACAATGTTTCTGATTATCGTCATCGCCGTACATCTGGTCCAGGCATGCAGAATAAATTAAGTGATCATAGTAGCTTGGAAAATGTATATCATGCTAACAGTGTCCCTTCCAGTTATCTAACTATCAATACTTCACCAATCAATTCATTGATAGACACTTCTCAAGGCCAGTATACATTTTCAGATAACTGGTGGAATAATCCTTCAGCATCACAAATTGTAGCTGACCTTTTGAGGGAAACACAACTTTCAGTTTCAGCTAACACTAGTATTCCTCCTAAGTCAGCATTATACCAGCCATGGCAATACCAAGAAATGATTTCCTCAGCCAGTAAAAGTCCTTCGGCATCACGCAAAAGTGTTCGCATACGTGGTGGATATTGTCGTCGTAAACACCCATCTGAATGTTCCAGAACTCAGCTCAATAATCTTACTACTGTTCAAAATCCAGCCATCTGTCGTGCCCGTAGTTTTAGTTCAGATTTTGAAGATAATAATAACAGTGGTGTTGATTCATCAAAATTGCAACCCAATTTTACTTGGCAGTCATCTAGAACAGCCTGGTCAGCACATGATCCCGCAGTATTAAAAAAGAAGTAAGTTAAATCACAATGGTCAGTGTTTAAGTTCACAATAATCTTACCATTATCTTTATAATATTAGAATAATTTATCCTCCACATCAAATCATGATTGAGAAACATTTATTTTATTCTATTTAAACACATAAATATTGGTACAAGGAAGCACCAGATAAATATGCGCCTCACAAATCTCATTTGATTTGTGTAAGGGATGTGATACTGCCCAGATGCCCAAACTGAAACAGGTGGTTTTCTCAGGGGACCACACCCCTTTGACCTAAAGGTCTAGTCCACAAGGCAGTGGAGCATCGTAAGGAGATGCAGTCCCTTGGCAGCCGGTGACCAACAGTTGGTTCATACGCTATTCGTTTCTTCAGGATACTGGAGCCAATGTGTACAATTGGTTTGAAATCAGGGTTTTCCAATTCCCCTAGGTGGATCCTCCACATCCACCAACCCGATTAAAGCGCCGGACATTATCTTTTCGTCCTCTCACTTTTGTGAACAACACCTGTGGCATGAGAAGGCAGTGAGTAGGACTTCCCTGTTAGAGACTATATACGCGTGGCCATGTTAGAGCATTTGGAGAGGGAAGGCGATCTCTCCCCAGTCTCGGCCGTACGAGGGCATTTGGGGGCAAAAATTTAGTAACAAGTTCATTGTGAAGTATTTTATACTTAAAATGGGTTCTTTACTGTTTTTGCTCTTATTCTTATGAATGCTTGTTTATTCGCCTACATAGATAAATTATTATCAGTGGTCTTTGACTTTTGAGTTCTTAAGTCAGTTAAGCTTACTACTACCTTAGGATATATGATCTTGATAAGCATAAATTCATACACTAAAAATATAGTTTTTTAGCTAGTTGTGGTCAATCAATTGTTATTCCCAGTAATTTTAAAATTACAATTGGTTTTTTAATGAAAAGATATTTTACCCTCTAGTTATAATATCTCAGCGACACAGCTTGATGATGATATATTTTGGAACTCTGCTTTGATACTAATGCCCGTCTCAGTGTAAATTAGAATTTATTGTCAGGAGCTCAGAAATTAACTTGACCCCTTTTTGTATTTAGGTTGTTATTTCCATCTCATTATGTGGTATAACAACTTAGGGCGTCTCACATCTCTGGCAGTCTCTTTTTTTGATGTTTGCTGACTGACTGAAGGCCTTGTGAGTAGCCCACAAAGTCTCCTGAAAGAATATATACATCTGGTGAACAGGAATGTAGTGACATCAACGGTTGATAAGGTTACCATGCTTCTTGAAGCTACATTTCAGATATATAACTAGTAATGTACCACGAGGCAGACTAAAGCAGTGAAGAGGACTTTCTATGCATCTAACATCTATCTATCGTTTTCTAGCCGACCTATGCATACCATATCTGTGTATCTACGAATTCAACTGTTCCTACAGTGTAATCTATATTCGGGATAAAATCAGACAACCGAGTTGACGATTTAACATACACCTCTCTTCATGGTTGGCAAAGAGTATGACCGAAACAATAAGAGGCTACGTTCCATCAAATTTATTCGATAGTGATCTAATAGTAGATAGGAATAAATCGTTTAGTAATTTATCGGATACATACTACTTATACTTATCGACCTCATCTGTTACATTGATCATAAAGTGTAGGAATTCAAGCTAACAACCCGATTGTTCGTACTCATAAGAAATTCGCAATACTTATTCCTTTCATCACCGAATCAGGTTTAGAGAATAATTTTTCTTATCATTTTCCATACACTGTTCGTTTGTTTCTCCTCATTCATTGTTTAAGTTTGTTCTCAATTTTAATCATTTTTAATGAATGTTATTTCAAGGTCTTTTTCCAAGTCACTGACCTACTTCCGATTATAAAACAATGATCTATTTCGATGTTATCATTGACTTATAAAAACTCCCTTTGTTTGGTTTAATATTTTTATATATCCATATAATGATAATATTCTATATTAGAGTAAAGCTTGAAGAGGATCTAATCGAAAATAATATCGTTTGTTTATATGTATTAGTTTATAAGGTATAGCAAATGTAACCAATACACATATGTATCATGGTTTTTTGTTAACTGGGCGTACTTGAAAAGATCACTGTACTAGGTCGATGTTGTAACGTGCAATAAGAATTAGCGCATCACATAGTGTTAGATTTATCACTCCCATTTGTTGGTGTATGTGATGCATCCTACAATCTGTCATACTTTCAAGAGATACTAGATAAAAGAGGCGGAAGAAAGAAATGTCTCTCCATAATTAATCCATTTTATTGAATTACAGTAAAACCAAAGAAGTTGCGAAAATTAACGGTTAATTTACATCTCGTTCTACAAATTGTTTGTTAAGATCATGATTTTACTAGTTATATTTTGTTATAACTTGTGGCCGAATGTATGGCGTAATAACCGCCAATCAGAGAGCAGCGAGTTATCGATTGGAACAGTGACACACGGAAACCGTACGAGTAGCCTAGAGAATTTGTCGGTCCTGTTGTCTGTCTAGCCCAGCCAGTTAAGTCCAGAACACCTATAACAGCCTCTGCGGTAATGATCACTGTATTTCAAACATACTGAGTTTATATATCAACCAGAAAGACCACATCGTACCATAAAATAGGAAACAACATTTGTACAAGATTTGGTCAAATGTTTCTGTGAATGTGGGAGGCAGCAATTAATAGACTAGGGATAACTCAAGAACGGTAAATCGTATAATAATGGTTGACAGTTCAAAATAAAGCTTATAATAAGGGGGAAACAAATATGAATAGTTTAGTTATTTAGCAAATATACAATAGAAATTATATGCATAATACTGGTTCATAAATGGATCCCAAAGTTACCATTCGCTATTGTTATCGGGACATAACATATTTCGAGTGTCGGGGAAATTGAAAGCCGATCCAAAAGACGTAACATATTTGTGCAATATGTCATTCAAGCCTTCGGATCCAATGTCTTTATATAGAGATTTAAGAAGGTCAAACAAATATAAAATGTATGTTACCAAGTATATATTCACCTCCAATTATAGTCCCTTAAACTTAATCTTTTACTATCTTCATTACATTTTATTAAAATAAATATTTGTATGCATTAGTAATTTTAGAAGTGCATTCACTCGACTCATTTATTTTATTTAGACCTGCTGCATATTTAAGAGCATCATATAGTCAAGGAAATGTTGCTTCTGTTCAGCTTGAAAGTAATTCAAATATGTGAGTTTTCAAACATCTATTTTATTGTTACGAATTTGTATGTACTAAACAATATTGAAGTCATTTATATGAAACCAATTTTCGTATTTCTCTTCAAAGTAGTCTACAGCAAGCCCCCAAGTGCTCTGGTACGGCCGAGAGTGGGGAGAGTCTGCTCTCCCTCTCGAAATGCTCTCACATGGCCACGCGTATACAGCGTCTGCCAGACAAGTCATACTCACTGCCTTCTCGTGTCGGGGGTGTTATTTACGAAATTGAGAGGACGAAAAGTGAATGTCTGTCGCTTTAACCGAATTGGTGGACAAGGCGAGTCCACCTAGGGGAGTTGGAAAACCCTGATTCCAAACCAATGGTGCACATGGGCTCCAGTATCTTGAGGGAACAAATGGCGTATGAATCAATCGTTGGTCACCGGCTTCCAAGGGACTGCATCTCACGATGCTCCACTGCTTTGTGGATCAGACCTTTAGGTCGAAGGCTCCGGGTGTGGCCCCCTAAGAAAACTACCTGTTTTAGTTAGGGCACCTGGGTAGTATCACATCCCTCACACAAATCAAATGAGATTTGTGAGGCGCATATTTATCTGGTGCTTCCTTGTACCAATATTTATGTGTTCAAATAATAATAATAATAATAATAATAATAATAATAATAATAAGCCTACAGCATTCATTTTAAATATCCGCATTTATTTTCCAGTTCTGATATACTCAAAACTTTTTTTTCTTGCATTTAGTCACATTCATTCACTCATGTGAATAGGGCAAAATTTGTGCATTTTAGTTTGTTTTGTCTTGCCTCATTACTAGTGAATATAGAAAAAACTGCATGTGGCTAGTCACCAATAGTCTCTCTATATGTTGTAGTGTTGAGGAATACTGCTCCATTTTTTCTTGTGTAATCCCAAATGAAGTAGAAAACATACTTGGGTTACTGATATTTATTCGTAGATATCTCCGAACCGTTGTTCGTGTTTGGTGAAGCCACCGAGTGAGTAATGCTGAAGTTAGACTGAGCGCAAATGATCTGTTGATGGATAAGGATTTCTCAAAGTTCAAGAGAAAATCTTTTGATATATAGGTATTCTCAAGTCTAAATAAGTTGGTGTGTGTGTAGGTGACAGTTCAGATTGTACTTAGTCCCCATTATATAATTTTATTCACAACCCTTGCGTCACTTGCTTAGATGACTATGAAAATTAATGCACCACCATTTTTCCTTGAATATCAACAAATTTTGTATTACCTCTCTATTTAAGTATCTATAACTTCCAGCACTATTCACTAATGTCTTGTCCTTACTTACAGGAAACCGAATAATTCAAACAACCAACTAGACAAATCTCAGCAGTCACCTCTTCAGTGTTCAAACAGCAAGTCATGTAATCAGAAAGTCAAATCAAACGACACTACTGGATCATCTCCAGATAATCGTTCAGAATGGAATAATACACATGCTAAGTCAAATCGTTGTCATCACCCACCAAGGCGTAATCGACGTTATATATCGAAGAGCCTTAGTGTTTGCATGGATGGTACAACAACAAACAGTCCAGTCACTAGTATACTGAAAGAGGTATTATTTTATGATTGAAATAAAAACGATCTCGATAAACGTTTCTTACCTATTTATGTCTGGTGATATGCTTTTTTTCGTAGTATATTTCTACAACATTTTTAACTAAATATCTATCCACTTAATGAAATACATTGTATAACCACCTAGGATATGTAGGTGGTGTAGTTGTAAACGACCTCACAGTTTAGCTAGCCAGGTAGTATCATTAGATTTCAATCCAAATGTGTAACGCATAGCTGAAGGTCCTATTTTCGAAAACGGTAAACCATAATTGTTTCAGACCAATCCGTGATTATATCACTCGGATCTTTACATAAAATCAGTTTTATGAACATGAACGTAATCGTTTAGTTACTGATCGGGACTCCTCAACGGTGTATATTTACCATGTCAACAGTTTTCGAACCCACATTCTGTGGCTTTATTTGTTTCGCTTGCTGATGTCATTCCACAACAGTAAACATCCTCATACCCTACTGTACTCTCTCTATTCTACTTTACGGCTGTGAAACATGGCCATTAAAAGTAGAAGGTATTCGTAAGTTACTAGTATTTGACCACAGAGGTCTTAGAAATATTGCTCACATCTGCTGGGATCACCGGTAAGTAATAGTGAGGTTAGATGAAGGGTATTAGGAAATGATGGTAAATCAGTTGATGAAGTTGTGAATCTTCATCGACTGAGATCGTTGGGTCACGTGTTACGTATGCCTGAACACCGATTACCACGACGCGCAATGCTGATTAGCGTAGGGGATGGTTGGAAAAGAGTTAAGGGCGGCCAAACCAAAACATGGCATCAGAGCATGAAGTCACTAACTTCTAGTCTGAACCATGTTGGTAGATGCAGACCACTTGGTTGGGGTCCGCTTGACTATCGTAACCAATGGTTGGAGACTGTGTGACATGGCTCAGAATCGATCACAATGGTGTAGGTGTATACACTCTTTATCTTCCCTTAAACCGTGAGATCAAAATTGCTTCATATCTGCCTTCCTATTTTATATCCTTATATACAACCTATCTTTTATATACTACTACCACTAAATTAACTATTTCTATGAATCCGGTGTTCATCTTGTATGCTAACGAGGTATGGCAACTTGGACCGATGAATATATGTGCCTAGTCCTACGTTGTAGCTGACTGACTGACTGATCATAACCTACTCAAATTAATTCACGTTATTAGTCCCCTATTGTTTAACTTCCAAAGTTCATTTGATTTCGTCGATAGAGAAATATTTATTTTATTTATTTAAACACATAAATATTGGTATAGGAAAGCACCAGATAAATATGCGCCTCACAAATCTCATTTGATTTGTGTGAGGGATGTGATACTGCCCAGATGCCCAAACTGAAACAGATGGTTTTCTCAGGGGACCACACCCCTAGCCTTTGACCTAAAGGTCTAGTTCACAAGGCAGTGGAGCATCGTGAGATGCAGTCCCTTGGCAGCCGGTGACCAACAGTTGGTTCATACGCCATTCGTTTCTTCAGGATACTGGAGCCAATGTGTACAATTGGTTTGAAATCAGGGTTTTCCAATTCCCCTAGGTGGATCCTCCACATCCACCATCCCGATTAAAGCGCCGGACATTATCTTTTCGTCCTCTCACTTTTGTGAACAACACCTGTGGCATGAGAAGGCAGTGAGTAGGACTTCCCTGGCAGAGGCTATATATTTGCGTGGCCATATGAGAGCATTTCGAGAGGGAGAACAGACTCTCCCCACTCTCGGCCGTACGGTAATCTGCATCACTTTTTCTTGTGTTAACTATTGTTCAATTTAACTTATAAAGTAAATATGTAACAACTTTTATTTGTTAACCTTTATTTAGGGAATTTCAATAAATCTACATACTAATAAAATTAGCGAACCTAAAAATGATTTTAATTCATCAAACTGGCTACTGTTGCCCGATGAATTATGGCTTGAAGTACTCCGATATTTAAGTCCAGTTGATCGTGTGCGGGTTGCTCAAACTTGTCGACATTTGTCTAGACTTTCAATGGATCGTTCATTATGGCGAGTCATTCATCTTCATCGACAACACCATTTGACTGATGCAGATTTAGTGAGAATTGGAAATCTTAAACCAAAAGAATTACGTTTCACTTATTGTCGTGGTGATAGCCTAACTGCTACAGGTGAGTGATCGATTTATATGTTGACTTTTAGTTTTTCCTAATAATTATCTTTTAATTTCACGTCTTTTCATAACGAAAATGTTTATTAATTACTCTGATATCTGCCTCCATTTCCCGATGCAATGTATTTTCGGATCTTCTTTTCCCTTTGCCTTCATGATTCCAATTTAGGGTTTGCCTTGTGATCCAGCTTGATTATTTTCGCAATGTACGATCAAACCGGTGTCAGGTCAAATAATGAGCCCATGCAATCGTCTAAGATGTTATTTCCTTTTCTAAGAAATCAGGTACACCCCATTCGTGAAACAGTGGCCTAAAGGACATATATACATATATATGTATTCGGTTAGCCAATAAATGCTTCCTTCTCACTTGAGTTGTCAGTTAGGCTCGTGCATAAAAAAACTTACTTGTCAATATCAGAATTTGACACCGCACAAAACAATTGGACTTCAATCTGTAACGTAGTGGGTTGGTTAGTCAACCCATTGTTACGCTTTCAAAATTCCAAGATCTAGCATAATAGTTTTATCACTTTGACGCTGTACCTCATAATATCCTAACATATGACTGTAATTTTTGGTATGTGTGAAATTTGACTTAAAATTGTCTGAATATCACTAGGGGTTGATTAATGGTTCTATTGATAGTAGATTCAGAAAAAGAGTGTGATTATCTCTACTATCTTGTTTATTTATTTCTCTTAAGAGCTTAGTTTTAAGTAACTGAAATATTATTCTACATATATACAAAGATGTGCTCTTTTCTTCACCTTTCTAGGATTAAAACGCATGTTTCTAGTCTGTGGTCCAGGATTACAAAAACTATCATTAATCGGTTGTACTAAAGGTCCATTTGATCAAGATCTACCATTGAGAATAGTTGCTGATCATTGTCGTAATTTACAACATGTGAATGCAAGTTATACTCAATCAGTACGTGATCAAACTGTGATTGCTCTAGCTAGATCTGCCACGCATTTAATCAGTGTAAAATTGAATGGTGCACAACAGATAAGTAATGCTGCCATACAACAATTGGTTCATTATCATCAAAATACTCTTGTAAGTAAATAAGAACAGTAATTCATTCTGTTTCTGATTCAATCTTTAACAAATCAGTCCATAATTAAATGAAAATGTTAATGTAAATGGAGGATTTGTTAATCTAGCTATTTGAGTATACAGGTAATGAAAACCATAACCCAATTACTTTGACATGACCGGCTTCATGGTTTCTCTTCTTTTGCACAGTAAAAACCTGCACCTTGTTAATGAACTGCATAAAATGGTGAAACAGCAACTCGGTTAGCAAAACGTTCGACTCTCAACTACTAGATTCCAAATTCAGACCTCACTTTACACATTTCAACCTAAACGACCAATTAGTATCACTGGGCCTCGTATACAAACTGTAACTAAATTTTGGGCACAAGATCTTGTGCTCACTTTTCGAATCACATTAAATTTATTGAATTAGTTAAAAAAATCTTAAGGAATCGTTGTTTCACTACAATCAGTTAGACTTGTGACCATCGTCACTGACTACCATAGGACTGCACCTCCTGACGTTGCTTCACTGCCTTTTGCATGAAACCTTCAGGTCAAAAACTTGGGTCGTAGCCCCCTGAGAAAACCACCTGCTTCGGTTTGGGCACCTGGGCAATATTCCATCCCCTACACAAATCGATTTATGAATTACGGCGCATATCTATTTGGTGCCTCTTAGTACCAATGTTTATGTGTTTAAGTAAGATAAAATTGTCAAACTATCCAGTTACTCAGATTAAAAAATAACCAAAAAATATGACATATAGGACCAAGTATAACGTGATACATTGTCATCTAAATTAAGAACAGTATGACTTTATCCACTTCTTTTTCAGTGTCAGATTGATATTCTAACTGCAATCACCATATGTATTAGTTATAACTAGTAGGTGTCTTAAGTCATACAGTTCAATGAATCCAATAGTATAAAAGTGTCTTATCTTTACTACATATCTACATCATCATTTTTAGTTGTTTGTATGTACAAAAGTATCTTTACGGATATTCGTTGTTCGATATCAACTCTAAATTTGAAATGTGACAGTAGTCTCTATAGTATCTATAGTATATTACGATTGTTATTGAACTGAGAATGAAATATTTCACCAACAAAGACAAACTTACGGCGAGACTTTGGTTTACAATTAAGATTACATGTTCCTTTCAATAAATTCGAGTATCTTTGAAAACTAACTGATATAAATTAGTTTTTGCTATGAAAACTCATAATGTGACTGCGTCACTGCGAAAGACTAGAGTTTTGTTTAATGAGTTTAAACATTCTACTTTTAATTAATTAGTTTTTATTTTGAATTAATCCAATTAGTATAATTAACTCTGTCAGCCGCGCGTATATAGCCTCTGCCAGGAAAGTCCTATTCACTGCCTTCTCGTGGCGGGGGGAGTAGTTTACGAAAAGTGAATGTTTGGCGCTTTAACCGGGTTGGTGGACACGGCGCGTCCACCTAGAGGATTTGGAAAATCCTGATTCCAAACCAATGGTGCACATGGGCTCCAGTATCCTGAGGCAATAAAATGGCATATAAATCAGTCGTTGGTCGCTGGCTACCATGGGACTGCATCTCCTCACGATGCTCCACTGTCTTATGGATCAAACATTTAGGTCAAAAGCTCCGGGTGTGACCCCCTAAGAAAACCACATGGGCAGCATCACAGGCCTCACACAAATCGAATGAGATTTGTGCAGCGCATATATATTTGGTGCCCCCCCCCTCTGTCAGCATGTTACAAATTAATAATACATGGACACTGATATGGTTTTCGAGATACTTATTAGTCCATCAAGTTATTAATTGTTAACCTTAACCTTGTTGGAAAATGTAAACTTCTTGGTTGGGTTCCACGTGATAATCGTAGTTTATAGTGAAGGATACTTTGATTACATAACACAATAGCGAAGATATATATTCACTGGTTATCTCTCACCTTAGATTTTAACTTTTAACATTTGTTAATTCGTTTTATTTCTTCCTGTGATGTTACATAATAATTAGTTTTGTATGGCAAATATGATTCAGTCAGTAAGTCAGCTACAACGTAGGACTAGGCACATATATGCATCGGTCCAAGTTGCCATTCCTCGTTTGCACAACAAGATGAACACCGGATTCATAGAAGTAATTAATTTAGTGGTGGTAGTATATAAAACTTACTTTACTTTACTTACGCCTGTTACCCCTCGTCGAGGAGCATAGGCCGCTCACCAGCATTCTCCATCCAACTCTGTCCTGAGCCTTCCTTTCCAGTTGTTATCCATCCTTTTCATATCGGCTTCTATTTCCCGGCGTAGTGTGTTCTTTGGCCTTCCTCTTTTCCGCTTCCCTTCCGGATTCCAAGTTAGGGATTGAGTCGTGATGCACATTGGTGATTTCCTTAATGTATGTCCGATCCACTTCCAACGTCTTTTCCTAATTTCCTCTTCAGCTGGAAGCTGGTTTGTCCTCTCCCATAAAACGCTGTTGCTGATAGTATCCGGCCAATGGATGTTGAGTATTTTGCGTAAACAACTGTTTATAAATACTTGTACCTTCCTGATGATGGCCGTAGTAGTTCTCCACGTTTCAGCTCCATACAGTAGGCCTGTCTTGACGTTCGTATTAAAGATCCTGACCTTGAAATTGGTTGAGAGTTGTGTTGAGTTCCATAAGTTCTTCAATTGTAGAAATGCTGCCCTTGCTTTGCCAATCCTCGCCTTTACATCTGCATCCGATCCTCCTTGTTTATCAACGATGCTCCCCAGGTACTTGAATGTTTCCACCTCTTCCAGAGTTTCGCCATCAAGTGTGATTGGGTTGGTGTTCTCCGTGTTGCATTTGAGAATCTTGCTTTTTCCTTTGTGAATGTGGAGGCCTATCGATGCGGAGGCTGTTGCTACATTTACTGTCTTCATCTGCATTTGGTCGTGTGTATGAGAGAGGAGGGCTAGGTCATCTGCGAAGTCCAAATAATCTAATTGATTCTGAGAAGTCCATTGTATTCCGTATTTCCCTTCAGATGTCGAATTCTTCATAATCCAGTCAATCACTAGAAGGAAGAGGAATGGGGAGAGTAGACAGCCTTGTCTGACTCCGGTCCTTACTGGAAATGCATCTGTCAGCTGTCCTCCATGCACCACTTTGCACTGTAATCCATCGTATGAGTTTTGGATAATGTTGACGATCTTCTGAGGAACTCCATAGTGTCGAAGAAGTTTCCACAATGTTCTCCTATCCACGCTGTCAAACGCCTTCTCATAGTCGATGAAGTTGACGTATAGTGATGAGTTCCACTCAATTGATTGTTCAACGATGATCCGTAGTGTCGCAATCTGGTCTGTGCACGACCGATCCTTACGGAATCCAGCCTGATGATCCCTAAGTTCGGCGTCTACTGCGTCTTTCATCCGATTCAGCAGCACTCTGTTGAAAACGTTTCCTGGTACTGATAACAAACTGATGCCTCTGTAGTTCTCACATTTGCTCAGATCTCCTTTCTTTGGTATCTTGATGAGATATCCTTCTTTCCAGTCCATTGGCACTTGTTCCTCTTCCCAAATCTTCTTGAATAGAAGGTGAAGCATGTTTGCAGTTATTTCAATGTCTGACTTCAGTGCTTCTGCTGGTATATTGTCAGGTCCTGCCGCCTTCCCACTTTTGATTTGTCTGATGGCCATCTTGACTTCTTCGATCGTTGGTGGAGTGACATCTATTGGAAGGTCTGTGTGGGCTGCTTCGATGTACGGTGGATTCGATGGGGCTGGTCTATTCAGCAGTTCCTCAAAGTATTCTGCCCATCTTTTCCTCTGTTCCTGAATCTCAGTGATTGTCTTTCCTTCTTTGTCTTTGACTGGTCTCTCTGGTTTGCTATATCTCCCTGCCGATTTCTTCGTTGTATCATATAGTTGTTTCATATTCCCTTCTCTTGCAGCTTTTTCCGCCGCCGTTGTTAGTTCTCCCATGTATTTCTGCTTGTCGGCTTTAATACTTTTCTTCACTTCTCTGTTTGCTTCTGCGTAGTCTGCTTGTGCTTTGACTTTCTCTGCTCGTGTTCGGCTGTTGTTAATTGCTAGTTTCTTGTTCTTTCTTTCCTGAATCTTGTCCAGGGTTCCCATAGAGATCCATTCCTTGTGATGATGTTTCTTAGGACCAAGAACCTCCTGACACGTTGAAGTTAGTGCTTCTTTTATCCCTTTCCAGTTGTCCTCCAAAGTAGTTTCTTGTTCTTTCAGTAGATCCTGTAGAGCTTGGAACCTGTTGTTGAGAGTTATCTTGAATTCATGGAGCTTGTCAGTATCTCGAAGGAAGGCTGTATTGAACATTCGTAGTGCTGTATGTCCAGTTGTCCAGTGTTTCTTTAGCTTCAGTCTCATCTTGACCACAACCAGGTGGTGATCTGAAGCTATGTCAGCTCCTCTCCGGGTTCTCACATCTTCCATTGATCTTCGGAATTTTTTGTTGATACAGATGTGATCTATCTGGTTCTCTGTGGTGTGGTCCGGTGAGATCCATGTAGCTTTGTGTATGCGCTTCTATGTGAATATTGTGCCGCCTATAACCAATTTGTTGAATGCACATAGGTTTGCAAGTCTCTCCCCATTTTCATTTCTCTCTCCTAGTCCATGTCGTCCAATTACATCTTCATATCCTGTGTTGTCCACTCCAACTTTAGCATTTAGATCTCCCATCAGGATGGTGAGGTTTTTTCGTGAGCACTTCTCCATAATTGATTGCAGCCTTTCATAGAACTGATCTTTATCATCGTCGTTGCTATCATTGGTGGGTGCATAACATTGGATAACATTCATTGTGATCCCTTGCTTCTTTGTTCTGAATGATGCTTTGATTATCCTGGGTCCATGAGATTCCCATCCCACAAGTGCATTTCGTGCTTCTTTGGACAGCATTAGAGCAACTCCCTGAGTGTGTGGAGCATTTTCCCCTTCGTGACCGGAGTACAGCAGCATCTCTCCTGTACCTAGCCTTTGTTGTCCAGTTTGTGTCTTATGGGTTTCGCTG